TATCACTACAGAAGTAGATTGCCCAACCTTCCTTCCAAGGACTGGCTGGTGGGTTTGAACAGCCAGCCTTCTGATTAGCAGTCAAATGCTTTAGGCACTATGCTACTAGAGCTCCTGCAAAACCATCTACTCCACCACCAAAGTTCCCACATATATTATAGGTTATTACAAAAAAAGATGTCTTCTTAAGGCAAACGTGGATATACAGGTGGATAGATGGGTGGATGGCTGAACTATTATGCAGAGGTAGTATGCCCAAGACCATGTATAGGGTTGGCAGACAGTGTTTCTACAAGTATATTAGTATGTTCTGTAAGAATTCCCAGGTATATAGTAGTGCTGACAAGGGACAAGGTTGTAGTCACTTCTTGGCCACAGCCAGCTATCCAAAGGGAGTGAGTAGTTGGACCTGTGGGCTTGGGACTATAGTTGCAGGGGCCATCAAGCTCAATTGGCATAACACACTATACAAAACATTGTTCCACATCCTACTTTGGTGAGTAGAGACCGGGATATTAAAAGCTTGCAAGCGGCCATCTAGACACAATGATGAGTCTCTCCTCATCCAGAGCAAAGAAGAATGAAGAAAACCAAAGATTCATGGAAACAATTAGTCCAAGTGACTGGTACACCGTGCAATCCTCAGCCTATATGACTATGAGACGAGAAGAACTAGACAGTGCCCAGAGACCACTGTCAACCACTCAGAGGGGATCTATGCAGGAGATCCTGGATACAGTGGGAGAACAATGTGGAACAAAACTCAAAATTATTTGGAAATTTAAAAAAAAAAAAAAAATGGGAGTAGGTTTGGTGGTCTGATAGAGCCTGATGAAACCACTGAGACTATGGTCCCTAGCTGCCCTTCAGGTCTGGAATTGAACCTACTCCTGTGGCTTCCAGCTAAACAAAAGATGGGCATATGACCTGAACATTTACACTAGGTAGATTCACTCCTTGGAGAGAGCAATCATGGGACAATAGAAGGGCTGTGTATGCACAGGGAGGCAGTTCAGGGAGCAGGAGTGCATAGATGGAAGGACACAGGGAAGAGGTAACTATGGGGAGGAAGTGGGAGGGGAGCTGTTGCATTGTGCTAAATTGTAGTCAATGTCACGAGACAAAGAGAATGTGAACTGCTGTATGGAAAGTGAATTTGCTCTGTAAACTTTCACCCAAATCACAATTTAAAAAAAAAAAAAAAAAAGACTCCCTGCTCAGTACTCTAGCTGAGACCCCAGCCTATGGTTGGTGCTAGGTGGTGGAGAGAGTAGAGCTAGGAAAGATAATGGGCAAAAGAGATAGAGAGATCCAGGGGCTACAAGGAAAATTCTGGTGCCAGCTGTCCTGCGGCCTGGCCATATGACTATGATATACGGGGGAAACTTGGCCTCTGTTATCCTGTGGGAGCCTTAGGGGTTTGTATGTTGGAAGCTGGCAGCCTGTTCAAGTACTGTTCACTTGCCTTTAGAAGGAAGAAGTGGGTTCTGTGCAACCTGGTTTCACAGTCCAGGTGTTGCCTTAGGGCTTCTTACTCAAGCAGGACTTGCACATCAGGGCTGTATATAGCAGTTGGGGGGGGGGGGCGATATCTCAGGGCATCAGTCCCCTCAGCTTTCTACTGGATCACTCACATCTTTTGCTAGCTTCAGGGTACCAGAAAGCCAAACTGGGAGAGAAATAGGTGTCAATGTTAATCCTCAGACTAGGTCCTGCATGACTCTACATCAGACCCAGCACACTCAGAGCCTTCCCTATTGGCTAATGGACACATTCCACCCCAGACAGTACTGGACACTGCTGCTTGCTTTGGATCAGTCAGAGCCCAAGCAGCTTACACACTGCTCTGATGCAGGTCAGAAGTTTAGACTCAGACGTCACCACTTGCCATCCCTCTCCAGGCCACAGCAAAAGCTCCAGGTTTCCTAAGTTCTGGGAGGGAGCTCTATCCAGGGCTCAGTACGTGCAGGTCAGCATCCACCATGAGAGCTTGGGAGGCCAATTCATACCCTTAGAACCTATGGCTGCCCCTCTCTCTTGGGAAGGAGGGAGAGAGCTGTTATTCCCAGTTTGCCTTTTTCATGTCTCACACCCATTGACAGGAAGACCAGAAGATTCTAGGTGAACCCAGAATCAGAAAAAAAAAGTCAAACTTTTTACCTTGGGTCTTGAGAGGTAGACAAATATCATTCCCTACAACAGGGATACTTTTCAAAGGCCTGGCCAGCTCCTCCTCCTCAGAAAGGCTCCACTCCCTCAGGCCTGCTTGCCCTGGAGACAACCTTTGTCAGAATGGCGACCTTGTGTGAAAAGTAGAGGACTATGTGGACAGATTGCCAATTCTCTCAGGAAATAGAGGGTGGGGGTCCTGGGATAGGACTCCTAGGACCCATGTCCACCCCAGCCTCTGCCTGTGGGCAAGCCACTGCCTCTGTCTGTGCCCAGAATCCACGGT